GCTCAGGGACCAACTCCTGCTGGTGCCCAGAGTCACGACTAAACAAGGGGAGTCAGAGTTTCAGGTTCATGCAGCTAAAACCTGGAACAGTCTGAACATGTGAGACAGACTCTTCTGTGACGCTGTTTAAATCCAGACTCAAAACATTTCTGTTTAACTGTGCAAATAACTGAAAGGTTTTCATTCCGCACTCTTCTCTCCAATTTATGTCTTTTTTAAATTTTAATCTTCATGATTATTTATGTTTTGATTTGTTTTTATTATGATTTTAATGTATTTCTTATTCTGTAAAGCACTTTGAATTACTTTGTGTACGAATCGTGCTATACAAATAAACTTGTCTTGCCTAATCATTAACGTTTTTATATTAAAATGATCATCATTATTATTACTATCTGCACTACTAATCTGCATAAATAAATTCAACTTTACGACATATAAACAGTAACGACACTAGAGCCACATCAGCCCGTTTGACATTATAATGTGTTTAATTCAGTTTTGCGCAACTCTCACAGAAACTAAACTTAAAACCACATCGCTAATTTGCATAAACTAAGCGAAGATAAAACTACAGCTCTTGTGTCGCTGATGCGGTCAATTTCTGTCAGATTAAAAGACACGACTCAATGGAATACAGGTTAGTGTGACCAGATTTCTGTTTGTCAAAACCAGGACACCGTACGGGGGGAGGGAGGTGGGGACTCGTCATCCACATTGAGCGACTCTCACCTGGTAAAACTTTTTCCCACTGGACACCGAAACATATGTGCTGCTTTATACACTGTGCACATGGACTCACACTTGTCCCGACCGGAACGGAAAGCGTGGAATTTCTTGTAGAAGTCATCGTTAAATACACATTTGTGCTTCGGTATGTTGCAGACTGACTGAATGTTTGTGTCTCGCTCCTTCTGAGTGCAGACACACATGTACACACCTGTTTGGTCACACTACACACAGCAACCTACATTTGGTTTGTCAATTAAAATGAACATAATCGATGAAATTCTTAGTGAGCAATTATCGATTAATCGACTAATCATGCCCATCCCTACTACGAACTACCACCAACAACTACTACAACAACCTACCACCAACTACTACAACTACTTACCACCAACAACTACTACCACCTATCAACAACAACTACTACAACCTACCACCACCACCACCAACAACAACAACAACCTACCACCTATTACCTACCATCAACTACTACTACTACCTACCACCAACTACTACTACTACCTCCTACTAACTACTACTAACAACTACTATTATCACTACGACCTGCCACCAGCAACTACCACTACAAACACCTATTACCTACAGCCACCAATTACTACTATTACCACCACCACCATTATTATTACCACAACTCTTAACATGTTTTTCTTAGATTCAGTCCCTGTTCACATTTATAGAGAAACCAGAAACTGCAGCCATGACTTTTAGAGCCTTTTGAAGTGAGTCCACTCCCTGAGCCGAGCTGCTGGTGGTACTGACTCACTCTCAGTTGTGTAACGTTATGTCCAAATCCTTTTTCTGTGTAAGTGATAAGCTCAGACTACACGGTAACATCCGCTGTCAAATGAATCACACGAGTGGAAAATACGGTGATGAGGATCGACAATCTAAAGGGATAAGTGAGGTTTGCAGACGATTTCTATTTTTATGACGAAAAAAATCTGAAATGGTAATTAGTTGAGTAATTTCTGTGATTATAGATTTAGTTTGCCGATGCCAAAAGCCAAAATGGTGCAAGTGAACCAATTTGGATCAAAAAGGGCATATCTGGTTTAGATTATAATCAAAAGAATAAACGAACTAGGATTTAGTTCTTTGGAGAAATCATTTGTATTGAAGGGCCAGAACATGAGTCCAGAACATAAGTTTGAACTTTCAGCCTCGCCCCCTTGGCCCTTTCTGCAATTTGGCACCATGACACATAAACATATGTCTGGGGAGTGTCGGGCAGTTGTTTCCTTCTCCAATCTCTGCTACTATTTGCTTTATTCACACACTCGAAAATACACCGTGACAGAGAATCACCATGGATCTATAATAAAAAACTGGATAAGGCATTTCCCCTCTGTCCTGGCCCGAGACCTACCGCCTGGGAGCTTGGGCCCAGAAAGAATTCTCCCATAGAGCGAACAGCATTTTTTGGGAATTCAAAGTGCCTGTGTTTGGCTGATAGGAGATCAATAACTTCAAAAGTTGGATTTTGTAGGGTTCTTTTCTATTTTCACAACATAAACATTTTAACATTTCTGTAACAGGCTTCTTCATGTGCTCTATGTGTTGCTATGGCAGCTGCAGGTAAACAAACTATTATAGACCTGGTAAAACAGGTGGCAGGTGATATCAGTCCTCCACTGCCAAGGTCTCTATGTACAACTCGCTGCTGCTGCTCACACATAAAACCTTCAAATGCAAGGTTGGTTTTACTTCTAAGATTTTACTTCTAAAATTATTCTATCGACACAGACATTCACATGGACAGTCTGGTGTAATAATAGATTTGCTTTGGGTGTTTTGTGGAGTGGGTAAGACTGTTTTTAGTGGCAGGATAAATATGGCTATTGACATGCACTAGTCTAGCACCAGTGACCTCTGCAAATACAAGGACTGGATGGAAGATTTCAAAAAGTGTCTCCACACGTCTGCAACACTCTGGCTCACTAGAAAATGTGGCCCTATGTCTAAAATTCCAAACTGTCCCTTTAACCTTCTCAGGCTCAAATACATTTTTTGTATCAGGAAAAATCTGATATTTGGGGAAAATTATCATATGGGGTAGTAATAGACAATCCTGACTTTTTTATCCTTTGTAAACAACAAAAGTACTTTGCACTTCTGGCAGGCAGTTTGTGTGTTGCCATTTGTCCACGTTTATCAGCATGGATGGGAAAAAAGGCTCCTGAGTAAAAAAAGCTCATAAAATATGGATGTGGAGTAAGTAGGTAATTGGCATTTAGCTGTTGCAAATCTGCAACGCCTGCCTGGAGAGGTTAAATCCTCAAAGAGCCTAAAAGTTAGTTTTGTAAGATTTGGCCTCATCGCTCCAAGTCCGCACTAGTTCCGCTCTAGCGGCTCTCGATCTGACTGGTCCAAATGCTCCTCACCGTGCACATAACAGACGTCACATGGGTGGGAGGTGCTCGCCCGGCTTGAGGAAGTAAATGTGGAAGAGAAACATTTTTTTGGGACCATGCACCAGTGAGCACAGGCCGCTGAAAGACAATACAACGCCATCTTCAGTTCAGTTTCCAGATTTGATCATAGTTCTATGAGAATGCCGTGTCTGGGATAGTGTCAGACAGCTGGTTTCCCATGATTCTTAGTAACAATGTGGCTGACTGGATGAAAAAGGTGACCCTGTCAGTAACTTCTGTATTAGTTACAACTGGACTGACTAAGTGAGTGTGATGTCACCCATAAGGCTCTGTTATGACCAAACAAGCAGTTACAGCAGCTATTAGGGATGGGCATGATTAGTTGATTAGTTGATTAATCGATAAATGATCATTAAGAATTTCATCGATTATGTTCATTTTAATCAAAGGTTGCTCTTGCATGTAGCTCTCTGCACTCAGAAGGAGCGAGACAGTCGGTCAGTCTGCAATGTCCCGAAGCACAAATGTATATTTAACGATGATTTGTACAAGAAATTCCACGCTTTCCATTCAGGTCGGGACAAGTGTGAGTCCATGTGCACAGTGTATAAAGCAGCACATATGTGTCGGTGTCCAGTGGGAAAAAGTTTTGTCAGGTGAGAGTCGCGCAATGTCGATGACGAGTCCCCACCTCCCTCCCCCCGTGCGGTGTCCTGGTTTTGACAAACGCAAATATGGTCACACTAACCTGTATTCCACTGAGTCGTGCCGCACCAGCGTACAAGAGCTGTTTCATTTCTTTGCTTAATTTATGCAAATTAGCCATGCGGTTTTATGTTTTGTTTCTGTGAGAGTTGCGCAAAGCTGCATTAAACACATTATAATGTCAAACGGGCTGATGTGGCTCTAGAGTCGTCACGGTTTATATGTCGTAAAGTTGAATTGATTTATGCAGATTAGTAGTGCAGATAGTAATAATAATGATGATCATTTTAATATAAAAAACGTTAATGATTAATCGATAATTGATCGTTAATTCTCACGATGATCGATTAAGAAAATTTAATCAAATGCCCATCCCTAGAAGCTATACTTGGAAATCGAAACGAGAAACCAAACAGCCACTCAGAAGCAAGGCTGTTAAACGCACACGCTCTCTCGCAGCGCTGGTTAAGTAGGGGGCGTTCGCTTAGCAACAAAGCTGTCAATCAACCTGTTGTTAACGCTAGCGGGAACGACCTCTGAGAAAGAAGGCACCGGATTTGCTGTTATTAATGTTCATATCTTGATTTACGGACACAATAGTGACACAATTGTTAAGTACAAAGACCAGGATCATGTAGAGCAGGTTAAAACTCAAAGGAACCACTTCCCACCCAAGCTCATTTCCTATTTGGAACGAGAGGGCTAAAGTGTTAGATATGTCTATATATACAGTCTATGGGTAACTCAAGTAAATGCTAGAATGTGATAATGTCATACTCACAAATGGGGACAAGAGATACATTTTCCTGTTAATGATATAGTACTTTGTCATGACATAGCCAAAAGGTTTATTCACAAATCTTTAATGTCATATTTTTTATCAGTGCCTAGACCCATTAACTTGCCATTTTACAAACCAAAACCTACTTTTTAAATGTATTTACTTTAGCTGTCCCCCATCTGTATTAAATAAAATGCTTATAATATGCTGTGATGTCATCTGAAAGCAGCAATAGAATATATTTTCCTATTTAGCAGATTTAACCAATGCATGGTATAAAGAGCATACATCTCGACAAGAATAAATTCAAATCAGGCCCTAGTTAAAAGTCTAGTAAAACTGTCAAACATTTGTTATATTCCTTAAAATCCCTGAGTAGTGAGGAGTCTTACCTGCTCCAGTTTGAAAATGTGCTGGTTGAAGTAATGCTGCAGACGCTCGTTGGCGAAGTTGATGCAGAACTGTTCAAAGCTGTTGTTCTCGTAATCCTCGAACCCAAAGATGTCCAGAACTCCGATGGACAGGATCTGAGCAAACACACACACAAACACACACAAGGTACAATCAACTCAGTGTTCAGCAACGTTTACAAAGCAACAGTAGAAAATACTATTTAAAAGTTCTACAATATTATCTTTGTGTTCAAGGGCAAGGCATTTCTCTCAACTGTTTGAAAATAGTGATTGAAATGTGATGACTGGTTCTTGGTGATATGGTCGTAGTATCTGTACTGGGCCATCTCTACTCTGTACTCCAGGGGTCTCCAATCTTTTTTTCTCTGATGAGCTTTACAAAACAAAAATGCCAGAGAGTTACTCATTTTAGCAGCCGCAAAAAACTAAAAAGTATTTGCCTCTTTTCCTTATATTTATTCATTTTATTTTATTATTATTAGTAGTATTATTATTAGTGGTATTATATTATTATTATTAGTAGTAGTATTATTAGTAATAATATTAATCGTAATAGTACCAGTAATACTACCCCCCCCACTTTTTTGGTATTATTATTATTATTAGTAGTAGTAGTACTAGTACTAGTACTAATAGTAATAGCAATAGCAGTAGTAATAGGTTGTTGTTGTAGTTGTTGGTGGTGGTAGGTTGTAGTAGTTGCTGTTGATAGATAATAGGTAGTAGTAGTTGTTGGTGGTAAGTAGGGATGGGCATTTGATGAAATTTTCTTAATCGATCGTCGAAAGAATTAATGATCAATTATCGATTAATCATTAACGTTTTTATATTAAAATGATCATCATTATTATTACTATCTGCACTACTAATCTGCATAAATAAATTCAACTTTACGACACATAAACCATAACGACTCTAGAGCCACATCAGCCCGTTTGACATTATAATGTGTTTAATTCAGTTTTGTTCAACTCTAACAGAAACAAAACTTAAAACCACATCACTAATTTGCATAAACTAAGCGAAGATAAAACTACAGCTCTTGTGTCGCTGATGCGGTTCAATTTCTGTCGGATTAAAAGACATGACTCAGTGGAATACAGGTTAGTGTGACCAGATTTCTGTTTGTCAAAACCAGGACACCGTACAGGGGGAGGGAGGTGGGGACTCGTCATTGACATTGCGCGACTCTCACCTGGTAAAACTTTTTCCCACTGGACACTGAAACATATGTGCTGCTTTATACACTGTGCACATGAACTCACACTTGTCCCGAACGCAATGGAAAGCGTGGAATTTCTTGCACAAGTCATCGTTAAATACACACTTGTGCTTTGGTACGTTGCAGGTTGATCGACTGTTTCTGTTTGTGTCTCGCTCCTTCTGATGCAGAGACACATGTACACACCTGTTTGGTCACGATACACACAGCAACCTACATTCGGTTTGTCGATTAAAATGAACGTAATCGATGAAATTCTTAATGATCAATTATCGATTAATCGATTAATCATGCCCATCCCTAGTGGTAAGTAGTTGTAGTTGTTGATTGTAGTTGGTAGGTGGTAGTAGTAGTTGGTGGTGATGGTAGGTAGTCGTAGTTGTTGGTGATAGGTAGTAGTTGGTGGTAGATAGTAGTAGTTAGTTTGTGGTAGATAGTAGTAGTAGTAGTTGGTGGTAGGTAGTAGGTAGTAGTAGGTAGTAGTAGTAGTAGTAGTAGTGGTGGTAGGTAGTAGTGGTGGTAGGTAGTAGTGGTGGTAGGTAGTAATAGTAGTAGTAGTAGTAGTATAGGGGAGGATAATGGGAGGGGGGTTTGAGGAATAAAAATAGTCACATTATATTATACTACTAATTGTTTGTCTCAGTGACATCTGCTTTATGTGCACTAAATTGTTATTCAGCACAACAGAACAATTTCAAAAGCTCCTTGGAAGAGGGTGGAGAGCTGCAGGATGGAGACCCCCGCTGTACTCTTGACTAGTTTCAGTGTATACAAACATGTTCTGAAATGAGGTCCTTCGATTGGTTTTTATCTGTTCATATTTTTGTCTTTTGGTCAAATTTGTACAAAATTTTGAACAGAATCCTAAACATAAATCAGAAATCTAATCGCAATGCTCGTTAGAAAAATTGTTCAGCCTTACTACAGAAGAAGCTTGCGACGGTGTGTGGCCTGATGTGTGTAATGGACTCTGTAAAGCTCTACGAGAGGCTTGTAAAAGTCCAATAAAAGTTAATATTATAATAACTTATCTACTGCTCCTGGAAGATAATAAAACGATTGAATGTCTGTATGCAAAGTAGTGCCGTTATAATACTAACATTTCAAAATCTATATCAATAATACGGAATGGACTCGCCATCGATACTACAACTATAATTAAAAACACCCTTTCTTAAGACAATAGAATGGAATTTTCAACATTACATCATAGTACTTTATGGTCTTATATTTGTTTAATCCCTAATCCAAAATTCAATATCATTCTAAAACTATTCAGGAAAGCTTCATTTCTGTCCTGTCAATGTGAATTTTTAGAATCAATACCTGCTCAAATGAGTATCTAACGTCGATACTAGTTTTATTATCCATTAGTATCTGATTTTTGATACTTTTGACTACTCTGAGCAGCTGTAAAGCACTTCCAGAGGCTTGTAAAGCGCAATAAGATTTAAGACTACAATAACTTATCTAAAGCTCCTGGAAGATAATAAAACGATTGGATGTCTACAGTAAAGTCGTATGAATCATTAGCCTTGGTTATGAGTGGACCTGTACATAAAAAGGTAGATGTTATGGAAGCATGTTTTTTTTTTTCTCAGTTGAGTTTGTCATGTTTTCTAGGAAAGAGAAGCGACAGTTATGCCTTATATTGTTTTGTTTGTTTATTTATTGTACTCTATATTTTTTTCAAAATGATGCTCAATAATTTAAAGGTGCACTGTGTAACTTTCTGATTGGGGGTCTGTTACCTGCTTGTTTCTATGCTCTGCCTGGAATGTTCCACAGTGTGACATTAAACAGCTCTATCTTACATTCATTCAGTTTCAGCTGGTTTTAAAGCTCAAAAATACCTAGAAAACTAAATATTCTGACTGTTAGCAGGGTCACCTCTCCACAGATCTGGCCTGGAACTTGGCCTGGTTTAGTTTCCGTGGAGATAGAAAGGTTTAATGCCATACTGTGAAACATTCCAGATAAAACAATAACATCTCCATGAAGAAACAGACCTTGCACCAGAAAAGTTACACAAGGCGCCTTTAAATGAAAACCTATAATATGAAGTAATTCTAAATAATGAAATTCAAATTAATAATATAAAAAGCTAAATGAACATGTTAACAATAAAATATAATAATTCTAAATAATGAAAGTTAAGTCAATAATATAAAATTTGATGAATGAATATCATAATAAAAAAGAATGAAAGACTAAAAGGATAAACGGGGCTTAAAATTAAATATTTTGACAAAGAAAACTCTATATATGGACACGTGGGAGCACTATGAAAACATTTATGACTACGTGTATTTGTAATTTTATATACACTTGGTCACCTTAAGAAATAATAAAAGAAAATTGCAAAAAAAAAAATAAATAAATACAATAAAAGTATATATGGCTAAGGTTATCTGTAATTTTCTATACACTTGGCAATAAATAAATAAATAAAATAAAATGTACGGCCAATTTTTTTTTGTAATTTTATACACACTTGGTCAATTTAATAATAAATAAGAAAAAAAAAGCGTGAACAAAAAGAGCTTGTATGACTAAGCTTATCTGTAATTTGTATACGCTTAAGAAATAGTAAACTAATAATAAATATAAATAAATAAATATAAATACATATACATAAATATAAACAAATATAAATAAAAAACATACAGGCCTAAGTTTAATCGCAATGTTATATTAGTCACCTTAAGAAATAATAAAAAGTAAAATAATAATAATAAAAAAGCTGGATATGTGGGTGTACCTTGGTGGGCTCCTCCAGGTCCTTGATGTTGAGCAGAGCGTGGTTGATCCTGAACACGATCCAGTCAAACAGAGCAGAGTACAGAGACTTGGCCATGGAGTCCCGGACCGTCCCAGCCTGCACATAAGGGAAGAGGATCAGTCAATCACTCTGAAACTGTAACACTGAAGCCCCTGCACCAGCCTCCACACTCCAACGGAACTGCAGAGGAACCGTATGGAAGATAGCTAGAGCTTCGTGAAGTCGTAGTGTGCAGTTTTGTATGTTTTTGTACATTTTTGGAAAATTGTCGTGTGGGAGCATGGGCTCGTGGGCGGAGCTTTGAACGGTATCTTACAGGTAACCGTAAGAAGGGTTCGAATAGGACCTGAGAGAGACTGTTAAATTGCTCAACCATGCATGGATGACATTTAAAACTCTTCAAGCATGTTTTTGATGAGGGAATATGGTAGAAAGCTAAAAAAAATAAAATAAATTAATTAATGAATGAATTAATTAAAATGTATTTTCTTTAAACCTAAATTGTCTCTCTCTGATCTGAATGGTCACTACCTGAAGCCCAGAACCTGCACCAATCCTGAGTCAGTGCTAGTGCAGCCTCTGCAGCTCAGGGAGGGAATTCTGGAGGTTCTGAGCTTCACCTGAGGCCTGCTCTGTCCATAGAATGAGACAAACTTGGATGTGTCTCTATCTGCAGGTTAAGGCTCTGAATAAACAGGTTCAGTTGTGATTGTAGAACCTATAGACTGTATAAAAAAGTGGACTAAAACCCGTTTACAGTTAAACGAATCCGAGTGTCACCGTATTAGTGTATCGGAAACGATCTGCGTCCAGACACGTCATTTCTGTGTCCACAGTCAAAGCACACAGTAACGCAAAACCACTTGAAACGCTCGTCACGTGATCGGCTGGTGTCACGTCTTCACAACGTACCGACGGAATGAAGTGTGAAGTTGCAGCAGATGATTTTGAGCCGAGGGAGATGGCAAATGTAAAAAGTCTTTTCCGACAATGAGGTAACACTGGATTTTAAGACGAGCAGCGGCTCAGAGTGAGGACTGACTCGCTTCTGTGTCCACGATCTCTATCCACACAGCTTTGAGCAGATTTGTTTACCTTTTACAGAAAAAAAACTTGAAACTACACGACTAACTTGCATAAATTAAGCGCTCAAAAAACAGCGTATATGAATGTGGGTTGATGTAGCTCACTATATAAGAGAATTCATTCCTGTTAACACTGAAATCTTTATATTAAATAGTAATGATATAATATTTAACGCTAATATCAAAGGCTACATTGTGAAATGTCTATTATAATACAATGATATTTTATTGATACAGCACCTTTCTACACAAAGTTACAACATTTTCTACACATGGAAACAAACTAAAATGCGATGTATAGAAAATGATTCAAACTATTCAATCACTTAGCAAATCGAACCTGCACATGTCGTTGCTTAACTGGTCAAAATAGACAATAAAACCACAACACTTTTAAAATGTTACTTGTTACTTCACTTAAGCCTCAGGAGTTTAACTCAACACGTTTAAACTGTTACAGCGTTTAGGGGGTTGAGGGCATGTGATGTAGCGCGAGGGAGCTCAGATCGACAGGACACCAGGCAAAAATGTACCCTATATTTGAACTATACTTTCGAACTATACTACTTTTTCATGGTTTGGGTGTTTCCCGCGACTTATAGTCCAGTGCGACTTCTATATTAACATTTTCAGACTGACAGCCGGAAGAGGCTCTAGTCTCGTGTGTCAGTGTGTAGTACTAATATTACTCCTGTACCACTGTCACTTCACTCTACTGCACATGTCTCCTGTAGAAAAAGCCGTTGTTCTGCTGCAAATAGTGAAATATTCAGCCGAAAACGATAATCAAGCAGCAGAGAGAAAGTTTGGAGTGAGCGAGAAACTTGTGATTGACTGGCAGAAAGTGGGGATGGAGAACACAGCTTCACAGCAACCGGGAGGATGCACCATGAAACTTTCCTGGAAGCCACCGGATGAATCGACAAAGCCTGAACTTCAATGACAATCGAAACCATCCTGTCGGGATTCAGAAAGGCCCAAATCATTCTAACTGGAACTGATTCTGAGTCCGACGACAGCTACACAGAAGAAGAAGCGGCGCTCTGTTTACATCATGGATCTATGGTTTATCTCTGGAGGTCACGCAGAAGTGACACCGACGATGAAGAATTCAGTGGATTTAGTGATTTGGAGTGAGATGGAGAGTTTGGTAAACTTATATTCTGTTGTTTATGCTATAATTATCTGAATAACTGTTCATATGTGACGTGGAGAGGAGAAATTCAGTTTGTCGACTGGACAAAAGTTTGTTCATATGTGACGTTAACATATTAACTCCTATTCAGTCTGTTGTTCTCTGTTCTGTTGTTATTACTGTAACTTGACATTCAAGATGAAATGTCGGTTCCTGGTCTCTGATTTTATAAAATACATTTCCCCAAAAAGTGCAACTTATATGTTTTTTTCTTCTTCATTGTGCATTTTTTGGCTGGTGTGACTTATACTCCGGTGCGACTTATAGTTCGGAAAATACAGTAACTCATTTCTGCATAATATGAACTGTATTTTTTTAATAAAAAGCAGTAAATCACATTGTTTAGATGAGCTGCTCAGACTGGTAAGAGTTCATATTATGACTAAGCAATGAAAAAGTGAGTTTGTCTTACAAAAAATGTCGTAAAAAAAAACATCTGTAAAATAAAAGCAATGCAGCTTTAGTCCATACATGAGGTAAAATGATAAATTATGTTTATTTTGTAATTCCAAATGAGCCTAAACGTTCAGTCAGAGTCAACCAAACCAAACCGTATGTGGCCCGGGAGTGTGATTTACATCTCCAAACCTCCAAATTCTCCGTTCCACCTTGAGATGTCAAGAAGTTGTAGTTTTTCAATGTTTCATGTGGTCACACTCTGCTTCTGACCTCTTAACCCTAAAACACAGATTTATTTTTAAAGGGACAAAACATAACAATTTTTCTATTGAATTATAATCTATTTATCTATTGATTTTAGTACATTTGTCTTGGAAAATTGTGTGTTTTTCATATATTTTATATTTATTGTGATTTTAGCCAGGCGTGATGGGTGATTTTAAGTAATTGTTTATGGAGCAAACCATTCTGCACTGGAGGACTGTAAGATTTATTTGGTAATTTGTGTTTTTATACATGTTTATTGTTCATAATCTGGATGAATGAAATGTGAAATGTGGGACCAGCTTCTTAAGTTTGCAAGACAAATTTACCCAGGGGTACGAATAAAGAAACTGAATCTAACCTATTTAGAACCGCTCAGTGTCGAACCTGCTTTTTAATCTGATCATCCTGTTTTTTATATGTCCTCTTTGGATTGTTCTGTGTACAGCATCTTTGAGTGTTTAGAAAACCATTACAGAAAGAAAATGTAGGCCAGTATTATTATGATTCACTTTCTAAAGCCTGTCTTCAGTTCATTTTTTCACTCTACATTTTGTCTTTTTGACCAACGAAATAACAGCAAAGTTTAGTTTTGTTCTGAAAGACGCGTTTGTCCCCTCACTGTGTCAGAAGAGCAGGCAGGAGTGTCACGGGAAAAGGACAGAGCACAGAGACAAGACACGCTGTGCTGGTTCAGCTCAGATGCTGCACTTTGGACCAAAATTCCGTAACATTGCCCACTCCAAAGCTGTAGTTCAGCAGAGAAGTAAAATGAATTCTTCTTCATTTTAAATCAAAACAAAGCCTGTCTGTAAACCTGTCATAAACATTCTATTTTCAAAGCGTGGTTGCTATGGCTACTGCCCCCGCGACCCGGCCCCGGATAAGAGGACGAAAATTGATGGATGGATGGATGGGTTGCTATGGCGACGACCTTTGAGCTTTAAAGTCAAAGAATGAGAGATTGTATAAGAGGAGGTAAGTGCTTCACTCAGACTCGAGACAACAGACTTTCTGAAGAGATCAGCCGCTGACTGAGATCTAAAGAGAAATTTCGTGTAGATTTATCGACTAGGCGAACATAGAAGATCACAACTTCATTCCTAATACACACACACGACATAAAATGGACTCGATGGACTTAACCAAGCGTCCGTATTACTTTTATAAGAAGAATCCTGTCAGTGCTCTGCTGGAAATCCTCATGTCGAGGAGGCAGAAGCCAGCAGAGTTTGAGATTGTTAATGTTCTGACCTTCCCAGATTACACGTACACGACAGAGGTGAGAGTGGGTTCAGTGTCGTGTCAGGCGGAGGGTCCGAGCAAACAAAAGTCCAAGTTCCTGGCAGCAGAGAAGATGCTGCAGCTGATGGGCTTCAAAGAGCTAATGGAACGTCACAATCCTCAACTCCAACCACACGAGGAGGAGATGTTCCGGCAGCACGTTGAAGAACAGCAGCGCAAATTTAAGGCACAACAGCAGGCGGCGGCAAAAGGCCCGCAAAAGACCAGGCCAGGCCACGTTCAGACCAGGCCAAGTCAGAAGCACTGGAACCAGGAACGTAGACCAAACCAGGACCACAGACCAGTTCAGGTTCATCCCAGGACCGCTCCGGAACCCAGAGTAGTCCGGGAAACAAGACCAGCTCAGGAACCTGCATCATTCCACATTCATCCCAGGACAAAACTGAGACCAGTCCAGGAACCCAGTCGAGTCCTGAGCACAGGGGAAGACCGGCCACCCCTAGTACCTCAAAAACCGAGGACCCCAGAGAGACCCAGGCCAGTCCTGAGCACAGAGGAACCTTTGCCACTCCCAGTACCTCAAAAACCGAGGACCCCAGAGAGACCCAGGCCACTCAGGTCATTCCAAGTTCATGCCAGGACAGTCACGGAACCCAAAGTAGTCCAGGAACCAAGACCAATCCAGGAACCTGGGTCATTCCAAGTTCATCCCAGGACAGTCACAGAACCCATACTAGTCGACGAACCCAAGCCATTCAAAGTTCATCCCAGACCAGCACAGCAATGTAGACCGGCCCAGACACCCGAGCTAGTTGAGGAACCCAGGCCATTCCGAGTTCATTCCAGGCCAGCGCAGGAAGCCATACCGGTCAACATCCCACAATATCCCGGACCAGGTCAATTCACCA